AAGTGTAACTAAGGACTAAAAGGTATAATAGATAATGTGAAATAGGCAGAAAAGGGGCAAAGAGGAAGGGGAAGTGGGAGGGGTAAGGTAAAGGAAAGACGGGAATGGAATATGAGAAAATGAAAAAATGGAAACAAAGTCTTTGTAAATAGGGAGTGGGGGAGGGGTTGAAGGGAGGACAGGGGAAGGGTGAAAAATAAGAACCAAGAGAGATTACATAAAGGTGCAATTTTCCAATGATGAATGTCATTATATTGTATACCTAAAATGTACCAATAAAATTAATTAAAAATAAAACAGTGGGGAAGACTGATTACATTTGGTTCAGTATTTTTTTATATACATACCTATACCTATACCTTTGTGAATGCTTAGCAAGATTAGGGGTAAACATGAAACCTTTAAAAAGTTTCTTCTAGGATGAATGATTGTTGGAGAGCTTTATTCACTCTGTACTTAAGACTTTTTCTTTTAAAAAAAAAAAGTCTGTTTCATTTTTGTAGTTGAAAAAGAGAACAAAGATTTTCTAAAATGGTGCCCTAAGGCTTCTATGCAGATTATTGCTCAAGAAGAGCTTAGTGAAAGGATAAGAAGTTTGTCTGATCATTACAACATTAAAATTTGAAGGTTTTGTTAATCCCTTATAAAAGTATTTGAGGACAGGACTCAATTTCTGTAGCATGATCTGGATCATGAGGAAAAGATCACATAGTGGTGTTTTTTGTCTGCTTCCTGGACTAATCAGTTCAATAAACATTTATCAGGCAGTCACCCATAAGCACAGAGCCTGGGATCCCTGTTGGAAGGGCAGCCTGAGGTGACCACACGACTTACTGAAACAGAGGACTATCAAGTTTCTCACAAGAGGGTGAGCTGAGGACACAGACAACAGCTCCACCAGGTCATTCCCTACTATTCTGTCCTTGGGAGAAACATGTCCTGCAGTGAGCTTCCCATTAGAGAGCATTTAAATAAAAGGGCAAGGCAATGCCTAATCTGCTACTCTTTTTTTTTTAAATAGAACTATTTCTTTGTGTTTAAAGACAACCAATCAACCCTCATTTTAGCTCTGTCTTCTTAAACATCTTAATTTCTTGCTTATCATGAAGAGGCCCTTCTAATGTATAAACTCCCAGGCCTTAAACTAAATCTGCAAGGATAGGCTGAAACCTTTCTCTAAAGGATAACTAAGCTGGGCATGGTGGTCCACTTCTGCAATCCTAGCACTTTGGGAGGCTGAGGCAGGACAGTTGAGAATTTGAGCTCAGCCTGGGCAATTTATGAGACCCTGTCTCAAAAAAGAAAAATAAAAATAATCAAACCCTACAAAAAACAGAGGTGGGGATGCAGCTCAGTGTGAAGGTCCTGGATTTAATTCCCAGTACACCCCCCAAAAAAAGATTAATTTATACTCTTAACCAGGAGCTCTTCAAGGACAGTCCCAGGACCAGCAGCACTGACCTCACCTCAGAACTTGACAGGAATGAGAGGTTGTCTCTTGGGGCCCATCCCAGACTTGCTGGGTCAGCTGGGTGGGACCCAGTGATCTATGCATTTATAGCCCCCCCCAGGAGCTTCTGAGGCCTGCCCAAGGTAAAGGACAACTGCTCTAAAGCTGTGATTCCCCTCCTCCTCCACAGTACTGGGGAATGAACCCAAGGCCTTCACATTGAGCGGTTCCCAGCCCTTTGTTTTTTTCTTTTTGTTGTTGTTTGTTCATTCATCTTGACAAGGCTCTTGCTATATTGCCCAGGTTGGCCTCCAACTTTGGATCCTCCTGCCTCAGCCTCCCAGACTGCTGGAATTACAGGCATGTGCCACCATGCCCTGCTTAAAGCTGTGCTTCTTCCACCACAGAAAGAGGTCAGGTGCCCCAAAGCTCAGAGGACTTGCTAGCACAGTGTTGGTTCTTTGTTCCTAGGCTTCGGAGAATTCCTTTCCCAGATAGAACACACAATGCTCTAAGCGCCACACTATTCTCATATATGAACTTGACAACTGACTCCAATTATCTATAACAATGAGGATGACTTTGGTACCCAAGAGATATGAAGCCCAAAAAAGAATGGGAATACTTTAGGATTTGCTTTCATTCTCCCCCTTCTTTCTCCAAATCTGTACAAGAGAAGCCATAAACACCAATGTCTCCTTGATTTTAGTCTATTTCCTTTCCCTGACATTGGCCAACTCTGGACAGTAGAGTGGTCCTGCAGAGCTGGAGTATAGGGAAGGGTCTAGACAGACAGGCACTAGGCCCATTCACAAACAGACCCCCAAGACAGGGGAGTTTCCTCACTCACTCCTTCCCCTCCTTGTTCCAGAAAGGATTTTAGGATGTCTATAAAATAAAAAGAACAGGTAAGGGCTGGGGATGTAGCTCAGTGACGTCATGCCTGCCTGGCAAGTGCAAGGTCCTGAGTTTCGATTGGTGGAAGGGGGCAGACACAGGTAAAGAAATCAGAGAAAAGGGGGGAAAAAAGACAGGTTTGTTGGTAAAGAAAATATGACTGTGTGTGTGTGTAACAGTCAGGACTGAACCTAGGCCTTTACACTGAGCTACACTCCCAGCCCTTTTTTATTTTTAGGCAGTGTCTTGGGTCACTAAGTTGCCCAGGATGAATTCAACCTTGAGATCCTCCTGTTTCAGCCTCCCAGAGTGTCATACGCAAAATCAAAAACATTAAAGACTCCTTATCAGAAGTACTCAGGAGTGATCTGAAAAGGCTCCCATGGCCAAAGGTTAGAAATCACATTCCTCCTAGTGAGGGGCACAAACTCTGGCTCTAAACGTATTAGCAACCAAAATAAAGATAGAAATGAAATCTGTTTATGATTTACAAGGTCCTTAAGACAAAAATAAACCAGTTGCTGAGGAAAAACACAAATATTACTGGTCTTGAGAGGAATTCCTCTCTTGGACCTATTTTTGAAGAATTTATAGTTGGCTGTTAATTTTAAAGCAGTAAAGAAAAAAAAAAACCCCACAAATCTCAACTTTATTATTATCTCTTAATCCTTGTTTCAAAATGTACTGTTCTATAATTTTTTTTAGAGAGATGTCTATAAACCTTATAAATAACCCCCCAAAACCCCAAAAGAGCAGAAACAAAAAACACCGATCCCGGATCAAACTTGCACATTTGACTCCCCTGCAGCAAACAATAATGTTGACATTCCTTATAAAAATTACTGGCCAAGGGGCTGGGCATGTAGCTCAGTGGCACCGTGCCTGAATGGCAAGCATAAGGTCCTGAGTTCCATCTCCAGTACCACAAAAAAAATAAATAAATAAAATTACTGGCCAAATGCTGCCTGGTCCAATCTGGAAACTGCAGCATGCACACATGTGACCACACGCAGCAAGCATGTAGAACACACATACTGTTTAAACCATTTTGTTCTCGTGGGCTCAGAAGTCTCCCTTAAACCAGGACTGAATTTATAGGATGGGCCTTTGATCAAATACTTTTCTGATAGGCTGCTTTGAATATAAATGCTTCCAGATGGTACAGGAAACTAAGAGTGATTATGGCAGATCAGTGACCTCCATCCATCTCACCTCTCAGGCGTTCAGTTCAACATCATGTTCCTTCTATGCTGACAGAACTAGTCTGGCTCCCCAGGTCAGACAAAATCTGGTTCCCAAATTTATAGAAATTCAGACTGCCACACATTGCTTGTACATGTACAAGCAAACATATGTCTGTATTGTTACTGCCTTTATTTTATTTAAACTACTACTGCTTATTATAACAAATGTAGTGTATTAAGTACATGAAATAGACAAAAAGACTGCCCACCCTTTACACAGTATTTGTAACAAATGCTACGTATGTTTGATGTCTCAGTTCAGTTTACCCAATGCTTCCACAGTGTATGTATTTTTGTACTTTATCCTCACAATGCTTCCACAGTGTGTGTACTTTTGTCATCTCTATTTTAGAGATAAGAAAGCTGAGTCACAGAGGAATATAGCAATTACCTAAAGACTCAGCAGTAAGTGGCAGGCCCAGGACTAGACCCCAATCTAGCTCTAGCATTCATGTTCTCACCCATCAAGCTATATTACCTCTGCATACACCAAAACTCAGAGTGTTTACTACCTGCTGTGGACATGCACATAGATTTTAGGCTCTTAGTGCTGGAAGTGCTTTAAAAATCAGAACTGTAAAGTAAAAACTCTACAGTTTTGAATTTGAATGCCAATATAAACTTACGATGTATTTAACCACTAAACAACAACAAAAATTAAAACTGTACACAAAAATAAAAATTGTACCAGGAATAACTTAAGTCTTTCTACTGAAATGGCCTAAAAACAACTCACTGTAGCAATGAGCATCCTTAGTACCCAGAGTGTTTTCTAAAAACTTTTCCTGCCAATAAAAGGAAGACTTCTTGGATAAATGTACATGATCCCAGAACATCTTTTTTTTGAGGTACTGGGGATCAAACTCAGGACCTTGCGTTTGCAAGGCAGGTGCAGCACCACTGAGCTAAATCCCAGGCCCTAGCCCAGAACATCCTGATATACTAGAAACCAAGACATGATACCACCTATGAAGAAGTTCTGGGGTAGGAGAAAGGAAGGGAGGGAGGGAAGGAGAGAGGGAAAATAAAAACAATCTGATTCCAATCAGGCCTTTTCATGACTTACAGAGGACAGACGAGCATGTTAAATAACACCATGGAAAGCTATAAGCAAACTTCTGACTGTGGGAACCTAACTCTGTAGGACGTATAACCACATAGCCATGTTTCTTCAATAGAAGTATTTCAGGAAGAAGAGAAAAGGATCTTATGGAGGGCTGACATATACAAGTAGATTGAAAGAAACAGAAGGACTGAAAGTGAGATTCCGATTCCTGCTTTCAACCTGTCACAATATGGATACCAAGGCTTCATTTTTTGTGTACAAGGCAATTAAAATGAGAGGTGCTTAAAAAACCCACATTCCTTTAACACCACCATTTCTCCTTGAATATCTATGTAACACTCACCGCTCCTCCATGAGTTCCCGGATAGAAGCCACTGTGGGGCCAGATCCCAGATGAGTATAATATGGACCTTCATCTTTCTCCACTATTTGCTCTGCAGAAACACCAAGAGTAAGCATTACTTGAAGATTATCAACTAGTGAACATTAATTCAGAATGGCAAACAACCAGCAGGAACATTAATAGACATGTTACAAAGCAGGAAACTCAAATGGCTTATAACTATATAAAACATGTCCCATCCCTTCAGAAATCAAGAAATACAGTAAAATTACAATAAAACATCATTACACATCCCTACCAAATGGACAAAAATTCAGAAACGTGAAAATACCAAGGGTTGTCAAGACTGTGGCCTAACCTTTTGGCAATTCATCTCACCAGTTATCCAGTAAAACTAAACAGTTTCACATGCATGACCCAGCAAGTCCACTTCTATATACACCACTCTAGACTAGGGGTCAGCAAACTGCTCCAAGTAAATTACAAAAGGGACTCAATGCCAGTGTTCACAGCAGTATCATTTATAACCAAAAGGCATAAACAACACAAGTGCCCATCAAAAGATGAATGGAAAAATTAAATGTGGTGTATTTATACAATGGAATATTATTCAGCCTTTAAAAAGGCTCATAAATGCTATTACACAGATGAACCTTGAAAACATGCCAAGTAGAATACATCAAACACAAACTATTTTCTTGCACTTATACAAATTAACTAAAAGAGGAAAATTCATAAAGAAAAAAAGATTAGAGGTTATCAGGGACTGGGAGGAGTGAGGAACAGAGTCATTGCCTAATGGATAGTGTTTCTGTTTAGGGTGATGAAAAAGTGTGAGAAATAGTGGTGACAGTTGCACAATATTTTGAATGCAATTAATGCCACTACATCGTATCCACACTTAAGTATGACTATAGTGGCCAATATTATCTTTTATATATCTTAGCATAATTAAACAAGTACTGACGCGTTACAACATGGGTGAGCTTTGAAAACATTACGTTAAATGAAATCAGTGAGATACAAGAAGGTATGATTCCACTGATTTGAAATATCCAGAATAGATGACTATATAAAGCCAAAAAGCAGATGCTGGTTGCCAGGGGTTTGGTGGTTGCGGGAGGAAGAGATAGGGTGTAATTGCTTAACCAGTGGATTGAATTTTGGAATAATGAAAATGTTTTGGAATTCAACAAGTGGTGTTTGAATAACATTGTGAAAATACTCCATGCTGCTGAAGTGTTCACTTTAAAATGGTTAATTTCATGGTATGTGAAGTTCACCTCAATTTAAAAAAACAAACACTATTGATTCATGTAACATGAATGAGGACATGTGTGTGTGTGTGTGTGTGTGTGTTATCACAGATTGAACACAAGACCTTCACACTGAGCTACATCCCCAGCCCTTATTTTTTATTATGAGACAGGGTCCTGCTAAGTCACTAAGTTGCTCAAACTTGCAGTCTTCCTGTCTTAGCCTCCAACAGTGCTGAGGTTATAGGCCTGTGCCACCATGCCCAGCCTCATGGGTGAGTTTTAAATGAATTTTCCTAAGTGAAGGAAACTCCAGAGGCTACATAATAGTAAATTTGAAAAAAGTGATCTGATCAGATCCTATAAGGCTAAGACCAACAACCATACACATACTAGTATATGTATTATATACTTCAGTTGGTAAGTTTGTTTCATGTCTAAGGAAACATTGTGAGTAAATGCAACATAGAATCCTACATTGAATCCACATTGAATCCTAGAACAGAAAAAGGATATTAGCGGAAAATCTGTTAACAACTTTTAAAATCTGTCATTAATAGCACTGTACCAACATTAATTTCTTAGTTTTAAATATGCTATGACTATGTAAGGCACATATATTGGGGAAGATAAGTAAGGGTATACTGAAGTACTCTGAACCAACTTTGCAACTCTCCTATAAATAAAATTATTTCAAAATAAAAAGAGTTTGTTGTTTTTTGAGACAAGATCTGGCTACATACTTCAGTCTGGCCTTGAGCTCACTATGTTGCCCAGGCTGGTCTCAAATTCATGACAATCCTCCTGTCTCAGCCTCCTAGAGATTACAAGCATGTGCCACCACACCTGGCTAACAGGTTTTTTAAAAACTAAACCAGGGAGTAAGTCATAATTTGTGATCTTGTTCTATAAGAAATTCTGATCACACACATGAAAACACATATAAAAGGGTTCTCATAGCTACACTGTTTGCAATTCATAGTCAAAACTGGAAACAACCTACTCTCGTCATACACTGAAGCCTAACCCCCAGTGTGACGATAACAGGAGGTGAGCCTGAGAGTGGACCCTTCATGAATAAACTCAATGCCCAGGGCTGGGGATTTAGCTCAGTGGTGCTGCTGCCTGCCTTACAAGTGCAAGGTCCTGAGTTCGAATAAATAAATAAATAAATAAATAAATAAATAAATAAATAAATAAATAAATAAATAAATAAATAAATAAATAAATAAATAAATAAATAAATAAATAAATAAATAAATAAATGCCCTTTAGAAGTAGAGACACAGAGTGAGAGCACCCTTACTTCAATCCCCAGGCCAAGTGAGGACCCAGAGAGGAGATAGCTTTGGCTTAAGCCAGAAAACAGGCTCTCACCAGATAATGGATCTGTTTGGCACTTGGACTTTGGAATTCTCGGCCTTTAGAATTGTGGGAAATATGTTCAGCATATGGTATTTTTGTTATAGCAACCCAAACTAAGACACAACCCATAATCCAGCAACAGTGGAATGGATAAAACATAGTAGTCACACAATGGAATAATACATTTAGCAATGAGAATCAACAATTTGTACCCCCGTGGCTGACTTCTACACCATCACAGTGAGTCAAAGATCCATAAGATAGTACAAGTGCAATAAGAGTCAATTAAAAAAATATTCAAAGAGGCTCACTAAACTATACTGTTTAGAGATTCATAGTGGTAAGATTCCGAGGCTGACATATGAAATTACAGATATTCAATGATTTGTTACCCATAGAAAAGGCAATTTCATATGGTTCAACCTTAATACAAAGAAAGGCAGAGTAATCAATGTCATGAAAGTCAAGAGTATGAGGGGCCGGGGATTTGGCTCAGTGGTTTTGCTGCCTGCTGCGCAAGCGCAAGGACCTGAGTTTGATCCTCGGTACCAAAAAAAAAAAAAGATTTGGGCTGGGGATTTAGCTCAGTGGTTTCGCCGCCTGCTGTGCAAGTGCAAGGACCCAAGTTCGATCCCTTGTACCAAAAAAAAAAAAAAAAAAGAGTATAATGGCCTCTGAGGAATGGGAGAGGAATGTGACAGGAAGGGTATACAGAGAACCCTGGAAAGTTAGAGATGGTCTATTTCTTGATACAGGTCCATGGTGGTGAATCTAGATGGTTGGTGCCACAGCTGGCTGTTTGTTATCACTGAAAGCTCTAAAAGGTTCACCATCACTGATCTAGGTGGTTATGCATGTGTTCATTTTATAAATTTTAACTGAACTATACATAAATGTTTTATATACTGTTATGAATAAAATTCAAGGTTTTTAAAATGTAAGAAAGTTTTATTTCAGAACTAGGGAATGGGCCTTCATATTGAGCTACATCCCTAGTCCTTCTTATTTTGAGACAGGGCCTTGATAAATTGCTGAGTTGCCCAAGCTGGGCTCAGATCTGCAAGCCTCTTGCTTCAACCTTTCAGACTTCTGGGACTGTAGGCACACACTACCATGCCTGGTTAATTTCTACCTATTTTTGCAGACCATTAGGCTCAGTTTTATGGGACATATAAGACTGGATAACACTTAATTATCGCCTTTAAAAAGTGTAAGACCTGGGCCAGGGATTTAGCTCAGTGGTTTCGCCGCCTGCTGCGCAAGCACAAGGACCCAAGTTCGATCCCCAGAACCACGAAAAAAAAAAGAAAAAAAGTGTAAGACCTAGGGTAGATAAGACCCACACATAAGTACTTAATGACATTTCATATCAATGAGGAAAGGTTAAATTTTCAATGCATGGTTTTGGGATAAGTGAAGGGCAAAAGTTTGATTCACGGTTGAAAGAGTTAAATAAAAAATATGCCAGTTCAGGAAAAAAAATTGGAAGTTTTAAAAAATAATAATAGAGTAAGGAAGATTTTCTATAAGATATGACATGAAAAACTGAGAAATTTAACTAAAGAAAAACTTCATAGTAATAAGTATCAAAAGAGTTTGGGGCTGGGGATTTAGCTCAGTGGTTTCGCCGCCGGCTACGCAAGTGCAAGGACCTCAGTTTGATCCCCAGTACCAAAAAAATAAAAAAAAAAAGAGTTCGATCCCTGGTACCAAAAAAAATCAAAAGTCAACCTGAAGACAAAAAGCATACTAGGGAGAAGTATTAGGAATTTGCACCAAACAAAAGCCTGATTAAAGTCACTAATGTAAGAAAAAGGAAAAATGAATTTTAGAGAAATGCAAATGGCTCAATCATACATAAAGCTACAATAAGACACCACTCTTCTCCTTTCAGATGAGTCATCAACAAAAACCCTGATTACTCACTTTGTTGTTGAGGGTATTGGAAATAAGCAGTATGGAAAGCATTTAGCAATATATTAAAACTACAAATGCACAATCTATTTGATTTGGCAATTTCAAAGAATTTATTTCTAGGAATTTGGTTATACTTGCATAAGTTTAAAATAAGTGTACGTGAATATTCATTATATCATTGTAATGGAAAAATATCAGAAACTTACATTTTATCATTAAGGGCTGGCTAAACAGATTATATCATATTCATACAATGAGATAGTAAGCAGTTGGAGGGCCTGGGATTTACCTCAGTGGTTCTGCCACCTGCCCTGCAAGTGCAAGGAGTTCGATCCCCAGAACCAAAAAAAGAAAGAAAGAAAGAAAGAAAGAAAGAAAGAAAGAAAGAAAGAAAGAAAAGTAAGCAGCTGGAATTAGGCAGCTGCAGATTTACTGAGAGAAACTGACTTCCAAGATTTTTTTTGGGGGGGGGACAGACTTTCAGTGTAGCATGTATAATATGCTAGGGTTAGAATACATATACAATCACAGATACATTCATATACATGCAAGT